ATGCGCCTGCCATGAATCACGAGAAGAATTATGCACTCTGAAGGCTACAACAGAGCATGACATATGAACTTTAAAAGCAAGAAATAAAAATATTTGTTACTCTAATTTTGGTTTTAATTATTCTTGAAAAAGGACACTCCCGGGAATCCTGCGCAAGTACATCTAGTTACATTTGTAGGTAGCATGTTCTGATGAGAAGTTGTTATTGTTAATAGTTGAAGTTTACTTTGTAATTATTTTGGATTTAATAAGTCACAATTTTTTTTTGGATACTTTGAAGATACACACGACCGTCTACAGAGCAAAATCTGTGCCAAGTTTGTCCCTAGAAGTCTGAAATATACATATAGAAAAAATAAGGAATCTGAAAAGAAATGAAGAAAAACTGAACAAGTTATTTAAATATGTTTTGCAGTTAGCCAACATTTTAAAGAATTATTATTCTACAGACTATAAAATTAGCTATTTTTCTTATTTCTCGATACGATTGTCTTTCGCCCTTTTCGACTCATATGAAACGTCGTCACAAGACTGCGTCTAAATAGGTTCTGTCCCGATGGACAAATGACTCTCACTATTTTATACAATTAGACCGTGAATGTTTAATAAGAATGCTACAAAATATTTTCTTCCATAAACTCAACAGAAAAGCTTGCCGAAGTTCTATTTTCTGCTACCGAATCTATAAATTAATTCAATTCAGCCATGAAGCTTTTTTAAACTGTCTTACTAGTAAAAATTTATTACCTTAGAACAGGAAGTAGAATTTTTTAGCTAAGCCTATCTCGCGTAACCTTGTTGTTACCTTTTACTCTTCTGTCATCCAGTGATCTAAATATTTTGGATTCTAACTGTGAATTTTTCGACAAGCGCGCTTATAAAGTCAAGACCAATGGCTATCGAGAAATTATGGCAATATTCTGGAAGACAGACAAGGCTAAACCAATTTTTGCATCAATCAAACATTGTTTTAAAAGCAGTGACACGTATTGGCTAAGTTGTCAAAATATAATCAAATAATTTGAAGACTATAAACTGTTTACAGAAATAGTGTTGCGTTATTATGAATTTCTTTATTTTGACTTTAGTCACATTTCGATGGAAAATTATTTTTCTAATAATTAAAACAATATAAATAATCTTCATTCAGTTTAATGTAAATAGTGAGTAGTGTAAGATCAATTTTCAATAACTTTAACAGTTAAAATATTATTTTTTTCTTGCAAAAACAAACTCCACCAACGTAATCAGTATTAACTCTACTTAGTGGAAATACGTCGAGCAACATCCAATTATTTTTTCTAATAAAAAATGCCACTAACTTAATCAGTCTTAATTGAACCTAATAGAAATATTAGGTAAAAGCTAGACCAAGAGTCAATAACTTTTAACTTTAAAATGTTTTTTTTTCTTCTAATAAATGAAACACAGTTTAATTATTCCTAATTCCAACTGAATGGAAATATTAAGTAAAGCAAGTTCAAGTTTCACCCAATTTTTGTTTACATTTTATAAATAATTGTCATATTTTGTAAGTTATCGCAATCAGTTAAAATTATAGTCTTGAGATAGAAGCGATGTTCAAATGTACAAGTAATAGCTTGTCAAAACATGTTTAACTTATTTTCTGTTTAAATTAGTTACTGGTTTTATAATAAGGCCGATTTACAATTGTGTTTTGAATTCTGTTTGCTTCAAATATCTTATTGTTAAAATGTATTGTATGTTTATTATTTGCAAATAAACTCTGATTAATAGGTATAAGATGCATGTTATATTTTTAATCTTGATTATACAACAAATGCAGCTACAAATCTGAACTAAGTTTATAGTGCAATTTATTTTTAATACGACTCTTTACGTGTTTCGCAATGAATCACTTTCCAGAACTGTCTCACGGTGATCTGAAGCTTATAACGCTAAAATTCGGGGTCCGAACACTGCGGTGAACAAGACGTATAAGGCACATTTCAGTATTCAACGTTAACATTCAGCGTTGGCGCGCCCTGCTTCTGTAGTCAACGTTTATTAACGTTGATTTACAGTGTTACTTCAGCATTGGCTCAACACACTCAAGGACCAGATATTGAAATCGATATTGAAAGATGCAATATGGTAACTTCTACGAGGGAGGTGACACTTGTGATAAACAACTTACGGTTTATTATAAATGTGTATGCAGTAACTATTGCCCGGCCCGATAGTCGTCGTAGGGAGTAAGTACGGCTCGACTAC